CTACTGCTGCTGCCGCTGCTGTTACTACTGCTGCTGCTGCTGCCTTTACTGCTGCTGCTGCTGCCTTTACTGCTGCTGCTGCTGCTCTCATCTCTCTTTCTAGATTGCAATGTTTTGTCTTTTGGACTTTGTTTTTTGACCTTCTTTCCAGCAGGAGCGGGAGAGGAAGAGGAGGAGGAGGAGGAGGAGGAAGAGGAGGAAGTGTCAGAGGATGAAGATGATGAACTGGGTGGATACTTGGTACTGGGCTGTGTCCGTAACTCTGTCATCTGGGTCTTTTCTTTCTTGACAGACTGCTTCTTGTGCTGCTGAGTTCTATTTCCAATCTGCAACAGTATTCCAGAGAATAAGGCTGGTGATTGGACATATCAAAAGAAATATTTTTTCTATCTTATCTCATGGGATTTCAAACTGATTATTTGTTCTTTTCCAAAACACAGCTTAATTGCTGTGATAATTAAATAAGATGTGGTGGAAATATAACCGTGACTACTTACATCAGCTGAAGTTCATCCACGTGGCAAGGGCCAACACTGGCTCTATGCACCACCCACGTTCCACGCAAGCCCCTGAGGCTGACTTACACACATTCCCTTTTTACTAATCTTATTCCCCATTTTCCAGGCAAATATTCCAAAATGTATTTTAAAACCATTGCTTTTTGTTTGTGTAAATAGGGCGCCTGCCCCATACATGTTCAACATCACAATTTCAGTTACCTTAAACACACTTTCAATTCTTAGGATCTTCTTCAGTTTAGTTCGAACTTCGTCGTCTGGAGAGGAATCCTCTTCTTCCTCGGAGTCAAGGCTTACAACCTGGATTATTTTGGAAGCTGCTCTATATCCTGCTTGAATCTCCAGCTGTATTTTGTCTATGGCTGCATCTGCACTGGCTACACACCAGATACATCCATTAGGGGATATACTGTTTCAATGAGGATAAACAGAAAATCTTGCATTCAATACTATACCTGGTTTCAAAATGAGTTGAGCTTCGTGTTCTCCAATTAATCGATGAAACAATGTATTTTTTAAAACAGAGGCATCTCGTGCTTTCCTGTAAAAGCAGACCTGACAACCAAAACGAGGCAACTTGACACAAATGGCTTGTGTAGTCACTTTTCTTCCTGCACTGTGCCGAAGTTCCTGTTCACCACTATAGGCGTATTTCTTAGGTAAGATGTCAGAAGCCACTCTTTGCTGCATTAAACATGAGCACATTAGTACACTGGGAGCATCACAGGCAAGTAGAAGAAAGATATCCATGCATATAGTACAGTGAAAGTTGATATCAATATAAAACCATAGAAGAGTTAGTTACCGTCACGGCACCTTCTCTTGAAGTTCTTTCAGATGACTTGAAATGCTCTGTCAGAATATTTGATCGAGCATCTTCTGGGAGCACTGGAATCCTCTTCACTGCCCCTGGTTCTCCTATATTTCTTGATACAGCAAAAGCCTTATGCCTGTGGGATTATGCATGAAATATTACTTGTAAGTAGCTCCTGGGAGCTTTTGGATGGATTTGATCACATCTCTATTAATGTCTTTATGTTAAGAGTCATGCTGATTTGAATGCTGGAACTGTTAGAACCAAATATCTGTTTATAAATGCCTTTTTGCAGCCTAGTGACATGACTAAGAAATCATTCAGTCTCAGATGAACTGCAGGTGGGTAAAAAGACAATGGTTAACATTTTCAAACCCCATTGAACGTAGGTTCCCGAGTGCCTAAGAGCTTGCCTATGTGATCAGTTGGTGTGTGGCAGTTGGGGTGATCACTGCCTCTCAGTAGCCTGCTATGTGCTGAGTCTCTATGTTGAGCCTGCTACTGAGCCCTGAAAGTTCCTTAGTGCATTTTGATCTTTCCCCTTTGAAACGAGAGTAGATTAAAGTGCACAACAGCAAAAGCCACACAGACCGTTAGCTTGCAGCATACTAATGCCAGGCAGATTCACAGGCCAGCTTGCCATGAACCAGGTGTTCACAGAGCCAAGTTCTGAGCCGCTTTTGAAAGTAGGAGTTAAATTCTGACGTGATTTAAGTGCTTTTTGAAAATTATATCCCTTATTGTGCACCAAAACAAATCCCCAAAACCAAAACAAAAGAAATCATGAATTACATTGCACAATAGGGGTGCAATGTAACTATGAGTCACACAGGTCTCTGATCCTGTGAAATGATTATAATGCTTATTATGCTGGTAGGTTTCACAGAGCAATAGATTACAAAAAAATGTATTTTAAATGATTGAAATTTAACAACTCTACCTTCCCATTGCTAGAACAGTCTCCTCTTGGCATGGAGTTGTTGTAACCTTAAAACTTTTTTCCTTCAAGTCTATTTTGGCATCAAATTTCAACGGAACTTGTGCATGGAGTTTGATATTAATTTCAATGGCAGACTGAACAAATTCTGTGTTGATTCCCATCATCACCACTGTGTGAGAGTAGATACTGAAAGAGAATGACATTGCCACAGATAAGCAAACAGACCTCGTGTTTAGCCACTGCCCTGTATGGGCACGTCTACACAGCAGGGCGAAAGCCAAAATAAGCTATGCAACGTGAGCTATGTCAGTTGTGCAGTTTAAGTCAAAATAGCTTATTTCAGCTTTTGGGCTGTCTACACAGCAGGAAATCCAAGTTAGAGCACACTTCCTCCAACTTCTCTTATTCCTCGTAAAATGAGGGTTACAAGAGTCAGAGTAAGAAGTCCTCCAGTTCAACATTATTGTGACATTATGTCAAAATAATGGCTTGTAGTGTAGACGCAGGCTATGTTATTTCCAAATTTCGTCAGTCATTCCAAAATAACACTTCTATGTAGGCATGGCCTAAGAGGTAGGGCTCCCTTTCCAGAGAATTCTCTGTAAATCTCAGAAACATAACAACAACAACAACAACCCTTTCCTTACCTCGGGCTGACATCAGCACGAAGTTGCAAGCTGGATTCAAGCAACTCTGAAGGTCTAAAATCACCAGATAAAGGAGGAGACAGCTTTGCATCAACTACAAGAGACAAAGAACAAACATAAAAGATGGTAAAAATAAAAATAAATGAGTACAGAGAAAAGGGTCTCATAAAAATCATTACTGAAAATAAAACCCAACGTCTTGTCCTGAATTAAAAATGGGATAATCAAGATATTCAGAGATGTAGTGAACAGCCACTTCTCTGAGTAGACAGACATTGGCCATCAGGAACATGAAGGGTACATACTAGAACTCAGGCTAGTTAATTTATTCTATATACTAATGATTTGAAGGGGAAATGTGAGCAAGCTGGTGCCTTGTGCTCATGCTACTAAGTTGATTCTATTTGTAAAAATCATAAAAGATTCTGAGAAAATCCAGTGAATCCAGTGGTGAACTCAATGGCTGATGACACTCACATTGGATAAATGTAAGGTGATCAACACTGTTCTTGATTTTGCTCTCAGAGTAAATCAGAAACAACTCCACTGATGTCAATGACATATGCTGTGTAAATGAAATAAGAATCAAACTCATCATCTAAAAGGCTTACATATGCTGATCAGCCCATAACTTGTGTAATTTATTAGGAGAAAGAAATAAAAGTGTCCATTTGGATACCTCAGTGGAGAAAGTGGGTCAGTGGGCAGCAAACAGGATATTTGGAGGCAGAAGTTATTGCAAAAGTTAATGATATGATAGTGAACAATAATATGTGCTTTCCTGTCAAGCCAGGCCTTTCATTTTATCCTACTCACTTTGAGAGAGATTGAAAAGATCCAGAGAGGAGGAACAAATATAGGAAATTATATAAAATTTACATAGAGCAAGCGGCTGCAAAAACTACTCTCACTGTTACTCCCTTCAAAATATTACCATAATATGGTACAAAAAGGAAGTTAATGACTGAGCCATCTCCAGTTCCTCTCTCTCCATGTTGGTACTAAATCTACTGGGTGTTTCTGTACGTCATCTTCAGGACCCACACATTCCTCCCCATTTCTATAGCAAAATACCTTGTCCAGGTTCAGATTATGTCTGACTTGATTGCTACAACCCCTTCCTTTGGCTTTTTACCTCCTCCCTTTTCTGTCTGTCCAAAATACTGCAGCAAAAATCATCTGCTTTGTCAGCAGCCCCAATTACACCCCTACCATCTTTAAATATCTTCATTAGCTCACCTTCCTCCCTTTTAGTCCTGGCTTTTATGGCCCTTCATAAATTAGACCCTTCTACCATTTTATTCTCATATCTTTACGCTCTACCTCCTCCTAATTTGTTTCCCAACTCCTGATTTGATCCAATATAGCAAATCTTATGTTTGCAACTCACCACGGCCGGTAGCATGTGCCAGAGCAGTAGTATATAAACTGTATTCCAACGGCAAGCCAACAATATTAGGAACAATATGCCGAAATTCTGCTGCATATAATGGCTGAATCCATCGTCCTGCAATGCCACTTTGGATTTGATTGATCACTTTTCTCAGCCATGTGTGTCTGTCTGCTGGTCCAGTCGCAAGCTACAACAGAACAGAGATACAGCATGTTAGATGAGGAGACAATGCTGACAAACACTTCAAACAAAATTAGGAGGAGTCCATACCTTCACAAGCTGCTGAATGAGGTCCTTGTCCACATTAGCAAAGGCCAGCTCTTTGCCAAATGCTTTTATGTAGGCTGAGAACACAGGATTTTCTGAAGGCAACACCTTCCATCCTAGCAGCTAGGAAACAAGCATCAAAAAGGCACTTACTACAGTAGATCTGCACATAAACAATTAATAGACAACAGAAATGGCAACTGACTAAGTTATGTTTTTCTTTGCCATTTGTGTGTCTTTCCTAATATCATAGTGTTGCTTTTCAGAATTCCATGCAAATTGAACATGCACAAGTGACTTCAGATGTAACGTCTTATATTCTGACAACATTACATCCAATGCAGAGAGTTAGCTCACAGCCCTCCACACCACTTAAACCCAATTTGTAGAGTTCTGTGCAGATGAAAAATGTTATCCACATCTGTATCCACAAAAATTAGTCACAGTTATCTGGACTGACATCTCCCAATGTGGGTGCCCGTAGATATAAAGGGATATGTGCAACTTTGCAGGGCTCCGCTTATCTGAGGCCATGGTATGAACTTGATCCTTCATTTGCAGACACAGAAGTCCTGAAAACAGATTGGTTGCAAGTGGAGGGAGAGAGACAGGCTCTGTGGAAGCCAAACCTGGGCTGGATGTCTACTACATGCTACAGAGCCCAGCTCCATTAGGGCATCCCACACAGCTATGTGGGAAACACAAGTCAGAAGGCTCCTTCAGACATCCCAGGAGTCTTATTAAACCCTCTGCCCCTGATAAATTCCACCCACCAAAAACAAAGAATGAGAACACACATACTGTTTTCCCAATCTCCTTTATCTTTCTGTATGTTGAATATTCCGCAAATGGTATGTTTTGTTTCCTTATAATATCTGTAAGACCTTCTGCATGGACACCAACCTAATAAGCAAATGACACGCTGCATGAGATGGTGCACTACTGTAAAATTAAAACATACTATTACTGAAAAAAATAATTAGTCAAAAATAAATGGCTTAAATATAATATTTACCTCTAGTGAACCAGCAATTGCACCTGCATAGTTTACAATCACATTGGATATTAAAAGTGATGGGAACATGGTTTTTGGACTATTTATGAGAAAGATCCTTTCAATTGCACCAATCTGATATGCACCTGTAGTAGAAATTAAAAACAAGACCATGCTTTGTTATTATTCTACTGACCTCTTGGGATGTCAGTCTGTAGCTGATAATTCTCTTTTTGCTAAAATATATTCTCATAAACATTTTCAAAATTTAGATCCTGACCTAGCGAACATTTACAAGCAAGTACCTTTCTACATGAGTATACCACTGAAATAAATGAGATATCCAAATGCATAAATGTTTGCAGATTGGGGTGAAATTTTGTACTAACAAATGCAGTGAAACTATATGATCGGACTTAAATTTTCTAAATACATTTTGCTGCAGTAAAAAGCATTTTACAACAAAGTTAGAGAGATGGTAAAATAATTTGTAAAGACAAATATAACATTAATAATTCTTCATAAAGAAGAGACACAGTAAACTTTTCAAAAACAAAAGGAAAAACTATGTAGAACTTTAAAGACTAACAAGATGGTTTAATAGGTGATGAGCTTTTGTGGGCCAGACCCACTTCCTCAGATCATATTCTGGAAGAGAATTGGCATGACCATATATACCAAAGGAAGACAATGAAAAAAGTGAATATATTATTAATCAGACAAATCAGATTTAGAACAGAAGGTGGGGAGAGGGAGAAGGAGGGAGGGAATAGCTGTTTATAAGCCAATGAATGGCTAATCGGGGTGATAAGTGGGGAATTTGTCTTTATAATGTGTAAGGTAATTAGCATCTTTGTTAAGGCCCATTCGTAAAGTGTCAAATTTAAGCATATGAACACTAAATATGACACTTTACAAATCTTGTTAGTCTTTAAAGTGCTACATAGTCTGATCTTTCTAAAACAAAAGGAAAAACTAATACAGCTACCTCTCTACAACTAAACTTTTCGGAATTCAAACATAGAAAATATCTTACAGAACCAAATTAATACTTCTTTCATAACTTTTTAAAACCTTCCAGCTGTTCCAAAAAGAAAGAACTCTTACAATCAGAATCCAATTAGAGTTCAAAAGGGTTTAAATTAGTTCTCCAAATGACTGGAAAATGGTGTTTGAATGATGGAAAAACTCAGTAAATGAAATACTTTTACTCACTGTAGTAAGCACCAAGAGGAAGAACAGCTTTACTGTAACGATAACTCAGTCTTTCAAGTCTGGGGCTCATTAGTTTAATGGCAATGTTGCAAGCAGCAGATCTTTTAAAAATTGATAAAATACACAGAATTAAGCTACATTTTACCAAAGCGCGAGTGTGTAATTTTACATGCAAATATATGATAGAAACTGTATGTCAGATAATGTAGTTTTACTTCTCTCCCTACTTACATGTTATAGAAGCGTGGGGACCTGATTCTTGACATAGCTTTCATGTAGGAATATGTAAAACTGGCAACTTGCATATTGGTTCCTTTCAGTATCACACTGGCAATAGTTGTTACCACAGGAAGTGGAGGATCAGTTTCAAATATGACAGCACAAGCTAACATTCTGATTTCGGGACTTAGAGAATGATCCGCAAAAATCTGGAGAAGAATGTCCTGAACCTAGAAAGGGAAAACATCATTTCACAAGTGTCTAGGGTGCGTATTCTCTCTACCAGATTGAATGTTTAATTTGCATCAACGAATCACACACTCATACTGAGGGGAAAATAGAATCCCAGGTGTGTCCATTTTTTCACTGCATGAATTGATACACAAATATGAAATAAATTTTCTGGAATATAATGAAAAGCTCTTGAGAAAATGCCATGACTAGAGGGACAAATTTTAACTCCATTGGCTTTGTGAAATGGATCTTATGTGTTCACTGTCATTTAGAACATGTTAGCATGGGGTATTCCAGGAGTTGACAGATGACAATTACAACAAGTGACTAATGAAACACCTTATATCAAACCCCCCCCCCCCCCCCCAGCAATTCCATTGTCTAGCACATTCACACCCAGATATCACTTGGGCCTCTTGTATTGTAATACTAAGAACAATAAACAATTGTTCTGAATTCACAAACACTGCATCTCCAAAGTCACTTTCACAATGGCATATATTCTTCAGATCTTATTCTTTGGGTAAACTATCATTGATGCTGCTTACCTTTCTGGGGTCCTTCAAGCCTATTTGCCTCAAGGCCATCACAGCCTCAATATGAATACGGAGTGGGAAAACAGAAGCACCCGATGAAAATATTGGCAAGAACTTCTGGATGCGCTTGATACTGCCTGGATCTTCTGCATTGCCCATGGCTTTCAGAGCCAAGGCTATGTCATCTTCATTGCCCTTGCTGGCTGCCTCAGCTGCAAGGTCATAGATGGGCTGCAAACAGAGCACAGTTCAATACTTTCTTACAAAATTCATGCATACAAATATTCTTATCCTCACCCACTGAAACTCCTATGACCATAATGCAACTAATGTGATTACAAATATTCAATGATCTCCTCACAGAGTGGGAGGGTGAGGTGGGAAGTAACAAGCATCTATATAAGAAAAAGACCCAAATATTGAGGCTGTCCCTATAAAATCGGGACGTCTGGTCACAACACTGCCTCAAAATTGAATCTAAATTAACTCTGTATTCAGGGGGATGAAGACTTCCAGTACCCCCAAAAGAAGCCCCTGGGATGAACATTTGTAAATAAATCATTTTGTAAATCTTGGATCGTGTTTTCTAGAATAAATATGATCAGGTCTCATTGCAGTTTTTTTTCTTTCTTAGCTTAAAAACAATCTGAAATGAAAAACACCTACCTGAAGAGCTTCACTAGGGCAAGATGGAGACTGAGAACAGTGCTTGCTTATCATGGAAGCATATGCCAAGTAAGCAATCTGGCGAAGCATGGGAATTCTCTCAAGTCGGGAGCTGACCAATAGCTCCTGCAGAAGCAAAAGAGGCATTTCTTTAGATTAGGGTTATCTTTGCTTTACCTTTCAGATAAGGACAATTATTTAGGGTTCATTTAGAAAAGTTACTTGTTTGAATATCTTTCATTTTCAATAAAATTAAATCAAACCAATACAATTTTTTACACAAGCTTGAGCCAGGTCCACAATTAACCTAAATCAGCATATCTCCATTAACTTAAATAAAGCTATGCTGGTTTATATCCACTGATGATGTAGCTTAAGAAAGGCAGGATAATACAAAGGACATGGGCTGCAGCCAATCTACAAAAGATTCTGTAACTCTTTGTTATATTAAACAATCATGCTCACTTCATAATCTGTATTTTCTTACGTTAAAAAATAGAAGTGTTAACTAGAACCAGAGGAAAGTCTACTACTGCATGTAATAGATGGTTGAACTAACTATTGTAAAAAGTTTGATATTTTAATCTGGATAATAGTTCACCTACATACAATACTTTCAATTTCTTCCAGCGTATAGGAATATTATGTAATTACTCTGGATTGGAGAGCGCAATGCTTGAAAGAGCTATTCAGCACAAATACTTGAGAATTAACAGAAAAAAAGAAGAACTGAGGTTTGATGGAAGAAGAAAGAATGTGTGGTCCAAGAAAACTAAAATGAGGATAACAACACAGGGTAAGTGTGGGGATTCATTTTTAATGCCTACATAAAAAACTGAAGAAATAGGACCCAATTCCCTGCTCACACAGGCAGCTGTCAATGGCAGTGACGGAGTTTCTCTGATACAAAAGGAGTGTATGAGAGAGAAGAATCTGGCCCCTGATATGCTATATAATCACCGGTTATTATCAACTGTTATCTTATGATGTGACCAGGAAAGAATCCTGCGCATGATACTCACTGCTGCAACTTGAATAGTATGGCTATCCGCTTTTGTTAAATGGAGAGCAGCAGCAACCGTCATAAGTGACTCAATGTAGCTCAAGTCCTCACTGTGAATTTTCAGTTTAAGGAACGTCAGTGAATCAGTGGTGCCTGCCATAGTAATCCCACTCAGCAGCCAAAGCCTGCAGCCAAGGTACAAAATCCGTACATTTAGCTCCCTGTGCTCCTTGTACAAGACATGTCAGTTGTGTGTGACATGGTCAATCATTACCTGTGATGAGGCTTAGCTGAAAATTGCTTAAAGACAGAATTCAAGGTATCAAGCTTTGCTACCCGACACAGTTGGATAAGCTCTAAGAGTTTGTATGAAGCATCCGCATGGAGCTCTTGCTGGTTCTCTTGGATTGTTTGTTGCAGTATTTCCACTATCTGATGACAGAAGGCAGAGGGAATATAATAATTAGTTGCTTCTCCTTGGAGTTTGTAACAATATACTGGTCTTTTATTAGTCTGATAAATGGCAAAACAACTTAAACTAAGAGCTCTATACCCGTTGCTCAGGGTTCTTTGTCTTGACGAGCTGAATTGGCATTTGGTAAAGTACTGGCGGAAACTGAAAACGTGTGCCTGATCCACGGTTCTGCAGATGTATTTCTGGAGGGCTCACATGTTCATTTTTTACTTCAACAAAGGAAAGTTCTTGTCTGGAAGGCAATAAAGAGAAATCAGTGTGTGTCATTTGAAGGACTGAACTGTCTAGGTCCATCCCTCTGACTCCACGGCTTTGTCTGTACAGTGTGGATATGGATAATTCTTTATTTGTTTTTTCCATCATAATAAGACTTTACAAGTTCTTGTGGTTATAGTCTTCTCAGTGGAACAGAACACTATCAGAGGAGGAGTATCTGCTGAAATGGAACTGAATTGTTCAGTGGAGCTGAACTGGTATTTTCCAAAGCAAGAGATACTGGCTTTATGATAACATACCATTTATAGCAATTTAATTCCTATTATGCCAACTAATCCAAGTGAGCACCTCATGTTCACTTGAACTTGGGGGATGTTGGTGCTAGAAAGCAGCACTTTTTCAGTGAAATTGTTGAATAGTTGCACACCCGTGGATTTAGGCAGCAGAATTATTTTTCCACTTCTTTGCTCATTTAATTACAAAACAAAGTTCAATTTAAATGCAGCAAAAATTATTGTTAATGCAAAATTTCCAGGTTTATTGGGTTTTTTGGAGGAGGTGAGGAAAAGTAGAGTAAGAATATCTGCAACTTTATCAGCTGCCATTAAAAACAACTCCCTTTTACTTCACTTGGGAGCAATCTAAGATGGATGCCGTTACACTTATTTTCACTTTAACCACTGAGGCCTACCTTGCGTCTGTCACAGCGACACCACCAGGTTCATTGAAAGGGGAGACCTGATAGATCTGCTGGGACCTAGCTTCTGTGATCAGGGCACCAGCTTCTGCATATTTCAATTTGTAGGAGAATGCAGCTGTTCCTTTTACAATCTTTTCTTTCTAAAGGAGACAAAGAAACTCAAATGATGAATGAAAATAGGCCATGGTTTTACTCATTTTTAGAGTGGATTTGTTTATATTATTCATACCAATGGGCAAGCAGGACAAGGACGGATGAAAGTCATTCCAATATTCTTCACCACTTTATCCTGGCAATTGTCAAGATCTTTAGTTTTGCTAATAAAGATTCCGTTATTCCTCTTATCTTCCTGGACAGCGTATCTTGTAAAGCAGACACCTCCAATCCCAGCCTATAGAGAATGGCAGAAAATAATTGGGCTTTTTAGTTATATCAGGTCTGTATGAGAAGAAGAACACTCCCCTGATTTGACATTTAAAGTGAAGATGAAGATTAGTAAAACTATATAGAAACCATTTCTTAACTGAATGTCAAAGCCTGTTTGCATTATTCACATGATAGTACCACTGAGATAAACAGGAATACTTCACTGACAAAGGACTGCAGGATAGAGACTCAATTTAACAAGTATTCAACTAATTAATATAACTAATTCAGTTAACACTGATAGATTAGATAAAATAGACTAATTGAGGAAGATATATATCTCAAGGTCTGATAATTGACTTATTTTCCCCTTTGTAGTCTTCTATTTTATAAAGTGCACAGAGAATCTAGTAGACTATATTCCAGAATCTATCACTTTCCTATATAAATGTATATTTTCTTTTGTCCAAATGGAAGTGTTTTAATACTTTAGTGCTTGTTGAATGAGATTTTAAAAGAATATAAAAATAATCTCTAAAACAGAGTTTAAATTGACTGAAATGCTTTTAATAATAACAAGTGGTAATTAGGCTCATGCAGCAAAGTAGTTTAAAACTGGAGAAACAAACCTCTTGCAAGCCATATGCATTCTGTGACTTTTTCAAAGATATCTGCAGCAGGTTCAGAATTCCTCTCACTATGTTAACAATTGTTTCAGGGACATCTTCTGGGGCATAAAGACTTCCAACCCGCCCCTTGCTGTATTCAAACTTCCAGGGTTTGGTGAGATATGGAGCAAACAGTTGAGTGACTTTGGGAGCGCGAAGGAATGGATCACGGGGCCAGATCCCATTGTATTCCTCCAACTGTGGGGATCGGATCTAAGAACAAAATTCAGAAAATGCACTCATCTCCATCCTGTGAGTGAAAATATTTGTAAAGTATGTACAATATATAGAAAATAACTATGGAAAGAATTAATATTGCTATACATGGTTTATTCTGAATATAGATTGCAAAGGCTGTCTTTTGTGTTGTTTGTATGGCATGTAATACAACAGGATCATCATCCATGATGACTGGGGGATTTTGAGGCACTTGGTAATACAAATAATAAAATTAATAAATATATAAATATTGGATTCTTCCTTCTCTTTTTTATATTAGTATAAGACCTACATAACTCCATTGAATCAGGCCCACTGAGTATAATATATACTAAGGAAAAAAGCTAAAAATATTGGAATTACCTCTCAATAATATTTGTAAAAAAGCTATTCATATCAATCCCTTTGAGCATAGAGTTGAATAGAAAAGCCAACACAGATTTTTAGTTTTACATAATAAATAACTGCACAGTACAAATTTTGAAGAATTTTAGGACCCTAATTCCTCAGCCCTTATCTAGGCAATGCTGCCATTGAATCAATAGGGGCTTCAGCTTTGCATGAGCATTGAATAAGAGTCCTGAATAACATAAAAAGTAAGTCTGACAGAATTTACTACATGTAAATTGTTTGCTCCTAATGACTTCCATGGGAATTTGGAATGTGTCAGGATTGCCGGATCAAAACCTTAAATCAGAGCAGGGCTGGACCACTGGTATTGCAGGGCAATGGTCTCAGAAATGACTCATGATTTTTGGTGCTGCAATTTTTGGATGCTATCACCTACCTCTAAAAATTAGATTCCCATCAAGGAGTTTCATGTTGATCACTCCAAAAATTGAAGTGCCCCAAATCACTAGTTACTTTTGAAAGCCAGGGCCATAATTTACATTTCCTAGTCCCTAAAATCTTCAAAGCTCTTTTCTCCCTTGCTTTTTTCCAGTGATTGCCCACAATAGTCAGGAGCTCAAGTGCCGCTTTAACCTGACTTGTTATTCAAAGCTGGTTTGATCCGTTTGAAAATAGTCTGGGCTAACCTTGAGGAGGAAAACCTTCTCTGACAATCCACTGATCTCTACTTTACAGGACAGCCTCAGCCCAGCTCTTGCCAAACCTGGCTCTGGCAGTCCATTCATGGTAAGGCCCTCATAGTTGTACACGTAGGTCTTGCTACCAAAATTAGGCTCTGTGGAAAATGATACAAATGTTCTCTTTTAGTAACAGCTATAAAGACATTCTGCTTCATGGTCATTATGACAAAGGCATTGAATGAAGGATAAGAAATGAACAGTAGACTTACCAGGGTCATATTTCTCACTCCCTGTGAAAAGAAATTAAAAGAAGATATGAATAATGGCAAACAAATTAGATTTGAATGTAATTTTTTACCTCCCCATAAAAATCTGTCAAAGATTAACATAGAAGGGCTAAGTAAACTTACCCACAAGGGTGAATACTAAGGCTAGTATGATTCCCCTCATGATGAAGGTGAATGAAGACCTCCTCGGGCATCATGAGGCTTTTATAGAAGAAACATCACTAGCACATGGCCCCTGCTAGGCTGCATTTTGCTGATTTTTCAATTTGTTATCAGGTTATGCAAACACATTTCTTTTTGCAACCATGTTGACTTTTGAATGGGAAGAATGGACAGACTGTGCCAGGCTCCTTGAAATCATCTTACTTAAATCTTTGACAAACTGCTTAAGAGGGTCTCTTGCTTTTCCTAAAGTTCTTTAAAACAAATTAAAAATAAATATCTTACATTATTTTATTTGCCGGATTTTGTTCATGGCTGCTTGCCTGTAATTGATTCTACCACAGATTAGGATGACTTTGTCCTGGTTATTCTGACCTGGCATATGATACAAAATGTTATCTAACTGATAATGACTCAGTGAGCCAGCGGTATTAAAAGTGTGACAACTGTCTTTGTCTTACTTCTTGATGTACTAAAGTATGACAATAATATAACAATGTTATGGATTTCAGTTATTAGCTCGGTTCCTAGATTCATCTCTATGCTGCTGCGTCACATGAATGTTTGAGGTCTTATTCTGTTATAGTGAGGTTCTGGATTCTGACTAGATTTATATGCAATGGGGATAGAATTTGGGCACCAAGCAATATATAGATTACAGTGATGGGCATTTACCCACATTATTATAGTTGATTTGTAAGTGATTATGGCTATGCAAATATGGCTGTTGAAGTGTAACTTTAAAAACATGTTATTGGCTTTGTTAATATATAGATGATCATTGTGTAAGAGACAATACAAACACATATGAAGACACAGTCCCTACCCAGAAGAATTTACCATTTAAATAGCTAATATTGATGCCTGGAAAGAAGGAAGTATTATCAAATCCCCTTTTCAAAAATGGGAAAAAATTAAACATTGAGCATGAAATCCTGATTCCATTGATGTCAATGGCAAAAATCCCATCCATATCAATGGGGCCTGCATTTTAATCAGAGAAATTTAAGTGATTTGCCAAGATCATACCTGAAATCTGAAATGGAGCTCAGACTCATCCAGTCCCTTAACCACAAGACCTTACTTAAACAAGAGAATGAATACATTTTAGTTGCACATTTTCTGGGCATGACAGTGCCCTCCTCGTTATTCTGAGAGCCGCAGCTTTACTCAGTATTCAGAATTATATAACATTTTACTAAGACTATCTTCTGTTACTTTTCTTACTCCGTGCAACTGACTTGTCCATGACATCACCAACTACAATGACCCCTCATACCGTCCGGAAATCTGCAACTGAAATATAAGATCAGTTTATTCCTTTCTGGTCAGATTATAAACAAACTTGTTTTTGTCTTTAGCAGCAGTAAATTTGTCCTGTCTCTCAAGGTGGTCTCTCAGCATTTAAAATGATTTCCAGCCACTAACTCTAAAGTGCTTTTGCCAAGCAATATGAAGAGAAAATGGGTCCCATCTACCAGTCAATCCTGGCACAATAGGGAATGGTTTTTTAGAATAGATCTTAGAGTTGATAACTGGATCCACTTTGAAATGGACAATGACCATAAAAGGGTCTCTTGCCCCCAGCAGATTTACATCCTACCTTCATACAACATGCCACATCCTCCCCTCCAGGCCTGCAACCAGGGCCAAAGCCCCAGATGGCAGAAAAATTAAAATCAATATGCAGTGTGACAATCAAGTATGGAAGGTGTTGGCTGGTGGAGTAGGCTGGCCAGAGTGGAAGATTCCAAGAAGTCCGTATCAGACAGTACAAACCAATCTTGCTGAACTGTTGTAATCAATTTATACAGTATTGCTCTGTTCAGGGCTCTAGTCATCTATGTTTTCACGCATGCACATTGGAGCTCTGCAATTCACTACTTTGTTCAACAAAACCTATAGAGCTCATCTATGGCCAGCCTCTTTCATTGCCTCCCAGTGAGGTGAGGGAGTAAAAAGTCTCTCGCTTTGTTCAGCGTGTGTGATTTGAGGCCAGAATCAAAGCCCTTTATGACTGTCCTTTATGGGAACACCATTTGGAGTGGCACTTATAGAAAAAGGGCAGAGAGCCAGCTGCCCATACTGATGTGAAGAGAGGATGCTGCACCGTGCAGAAAAAGCATTACAAAATTTACACCACCCCAAGGAGCCTGAATTTGGAAGGAGAATTTTGAGGGAGTGGTGAACTTCCACAATGCCCTTTACTAGAGCCTGTGGCTAAATGTCACAGCTTAGCCTGTAATTTCTGTGCACAAGAGATTTTGTAATTCTTTTAACTACATTATTTCTAAGCCAACTTTATTCAGTTATGTCACAGGCACCTGTCCTCAGTAAGGAATGATTCTCAGGCACATTTTTTTTTATAATTTTTTAGCTGTCCCTCTGTAACAATTGTTTTTTAAGTATTTAGATATTGTAAAATGAGCCATCTAGAATTTCACCAGAATGTACTACAACATCCATTGAAAAGCTGAGAAATTCTGATCCACCAAGAAATATTTTCAGAGATACCTGCAACTTATGACTTGAAATGGAAGCAACATTATAGTGTCACCAATAAAGCACTAATATTTACACACGTGTGGATAAATAAGACCTTGGGTTTGATTTTTTCAGAAGTGTTGGGCATTCCCTGAAGCTGAAGTATATGGGAGGCATATGAACTTTATATATAACAATCAGAACAAAAATATCAGCATTGCCAATCTCAGGCATTCAAAAATTATCAGTCAGGCCTCCCAGATCATGAGAATTTAAAAGGAAATTATTTTTCTTTGGCTTCAAGGGTTGGCGTCTTTACAGTTCACAATTTCCATCTTTTCTCAGCAACATGAGCACTAGACATTTACTTTCTTTTAAACAAAAACTGCGATTCTTACATAATAATCTGATTCCAGCTGTTGGAGTTTCAGAAAAAGTACTAACTAGCTAAGATCACATTAAAATTGCCTGAGTTGGAAATGTTGTAGTAGATATGCTGACATGGATGTACAACCTTGGATAGCATAGATTAGCTGTATATGCATGCATTACATACACACAAAAACATTTTGTTTTTCTGTATTAAAAATCTTTTTCTTGGCAAAGTTGCAATGTGTGTAATGTGTCCTCTTAGCTCCGGTCACTATGACCAGGAATTTTTTGAAAGATTTCACCAGCAACGTGTAAATATTGTGCCTTCCAAGGTAAAGGTCAGTTTAAATGGGAATAATTGAAAACTACAAAGATTCATAGCAGAAGAGGGAACAAGTTCAATTGCAGGTCAGTTAGAAGCTTCCAGGCCCTAATCAATAAACCAAATTGCCAATGCAACCATATATTTGAACTGAGCTAGACTTTCAAATTGCTCTATTCATCATCAGAATTACTTGCATCCATACTACAGTATAATAATTCCAATCTTATAAGGAGCAAAGTCTAGAAAATGATCTATAGATAGAGATATGGATCAGACTTAGAAGGACAGAAAATGGGACACACAGAAAATGGGAATAAATAAATAAATAAATAAAGGGCACACAAAACTTCTAGGGAGTTTTGGAGAGTGGCTTATTGCTTAAGGAATAGTTTTTAAGGAGTACAATGGTTTACAGACCTCAACTTGCAAATGTTGTGAATTTAACTGTACAAAAATTAAATATACAATTTGCAATTTTCCCTTTACTGATCAGTCAGATTAATCATGTGGTTTCATTTCTGTTTTCTGATTAGACTAGCCAATGCACACATATACACAATGATTGGCCATTCATATTGTGTTAGTTAACAGAACAAGCAAAGTACTTATTTTACAATGAAAGGTTCCACTAGCCTACTTTGTTAGGAGAGTATTTATTTTTTAGGACTGGCAAATAAAATCTCATTCATTTTTCTTTACTGACAGTCATCATGGTCAAGGATAGGTGACTGGATTTTGTATAGAGGCATAAATTTTTAGCGACTATAGTGGAAGACTTTAATATAAAGTTCATTTGCACAGAGAGATGAAAATGTCATTTTTGTAGTTGTTTTAGCATCACTTGAACATTCATGGAAAACAAACCTAAGCTGACGATGGTTGAATCAAAATTTCCTTTGAAGTTGATTGAACTTTTCCAAGTTCTGCTCTATGATCAGCTATAGTTATTTGGAATAGTGGTAGAAATGTAGCCGTGTTAGTCTGGTGTAGCTGAAACAAAATACAGGACTATGTAGCACTTTAAAGACTAACAAGATGGTTTACCATTAGCTCACAGACATTTACCTTACCCTCCTCCCCCCGCATTCCCATTCTGTTCTGAAATTTGATTTGTCCTTTTCATATGTGTTCATTTTTTTTAATTGTATCCTTTGGTATATATGGGTGTGACTATTTTCTTCCACTATTTGATCTGAGGAAGTGGGTCTGGCCCACAAAAGCTCATCATCTAATAAACCATCTTGTTCGTCTGTAAAGTGCTACATAGTCCTGTATTTTGTTTCTTCTATAGTTATTTGTAAGCCTTGAACAACTAAGACACACTTGAAAATTCATCACCCACTTGGAAGAGTCCATTTAATATTGTCCAAAGCAAAAGGAGTGTTCCACATGTAATATAACACACAGTGAAAGGAATGGCTCTCAAGTAGGAGAATTACTAGGACATAGACCTGATTCTACAAACCTTTTCTTATTCAAGTACACCTTCCTTATGGCAATAGTGCCCTTTACTTCAAGGGAATGTTTGTGTGACTCAGAGTTTATAGGCTCTGGCATTATTGTTGAATTATGCTGCTGTGCGTATCAAAATTCAGGGATGGAGAGAGAGAGAGAGTGAGAGAGAGGGGGAATGTTTGGCAGACCACTTAGCTAGCTTACACAAAACTTACTGTCATGAAGAATATAGGGAACATAGTCCATATTTGGACTTTGACTTGGGTAACTTTGGTCGGCCAAATGTTTAAGTTAGCATGATTAAGAGAGGCTTGAAGCTGCTTGTTCGATATGTAGGCAAAAGGTTGTTAGGACAAGGGCACTCATTTGCCCTAGACACCATCAGCCCCATTTGCACTATATTTCCAGTGTCATA